GTTGTTTCCCTCAACCAATCTTTCTATACACGTGTCGACATTATCAGCTAATAATTAGTGTTTTCTGGCGTCGTATCTTATATTCCAGCCAGTGACTTCTTATGGTTATTTCCTTCTGTATTCAGGTTTATAAAAATGTCGTCTCCAAAGTTCAACAACATAACTGTGGTGGGATGTCTGCTATGTTATATGGAAGTGTTTTTATCAGCGTACGGCAGCTCAGCCTCAACGCAGCACGATCCATCTGTTTGCTATGTAAGAACAGTTAGCATATAGTTGATGTTTTTGTACACGAACATTTCTCCGTTGTATATCGGGGTTTTCATTGAAAAGCTTCGCGTTTTTGAGAAATAGTCGATAAACAGTGTCCCCAGTATATCATTCCACTTGATGAAGACTGCAGTTAGGGTCGTCGAAAGTTTCTCTTCTTACAATACTTTTTTAGCCAGAGGAAGTTTTTAAATTTTATTAGTATCCCGTTAAATCTATTTCCCGCGATTTTTTTTTTGTATTTCCGTGGATTTTTCCTTAAACATTCTCTCACAGAACATTCACTCTTTGTAATCTTTAGATTAAGGCCTGGTTTCTCTCGACTGGTTTCACTTTGGCATTTGGTGGCATTTTCGTCAAAACCTGGAGAGTATACAAAATATTCACAAATAACCAGATGAAAAGAGAGGTGAGCTAAGAACATAATGCACCCAGAAATTTTCCTTCATTTTCATGCACAGTTGTCCTCCTCCGATACGCCGCCCCGCCGCCGCCGTCGCCGCCACCACCACCACCACATTATTTTTAACCAAAGCCACAGAGATAGCCAACGCATCAATATCATCATCGTCCTCATTATCGTTCCCGTGTCAAATGAAAATTGTTTTCAACTCATGTAAGTTTTACTCTTCTGTGGGACCATTGTGCTTTTGCAAGGCCCTACTTCATTCAAGAAAATTGTTCAGGGCATCGACAGATAATCCCATTCGAAAAGAGACTGCGGATACTTCTGCATGTATCACGTGATGCTACACAAACTGAAGGTAACAGCTGGTGGTAATGAGCCAGCAGGTTTAAGTCACATCTTATCGGGCGATGTTTTCTATTCTTTACAGCTTGGCAAGCTGAGTAACATAAGTCTCCTTCTGAGGCTATGTGCTGGTTGGTTTATAGATGTCATCATTTTGTCAACTTGGGCAGCCATTGATCCATTAACGATACATCTTCAGATGATTGATGAAGAGGTAAATAAACATGGCAGTCTTCTCGTTTGCATGAGGGTTTTTAGTTCATTATATGACAAAATAAAGAAAATTACTTCATTGTGATTGGCTGAGGGCAGGCCTTATTTAAAGAACCCCTTTAACCGTTAATACGGCCAGATTTTTTGTGGCCTGTTGGTGACCGGATTAACGGGGTTCCACTGTAGTTGTATTCATTATCTTGGACTGGAAATTTGTTTTCATGAATACAACTACCATGATATCCTGCAGGCGCGTCTCGCAGAGGAAATTGGCTATTAAGGTTTTACTATAAGGTATAAAGCGGTTCTCAATTATGTGTCGTAAAACCAAAACCAAACCAATTACTTACAAGTAAGACTATTGTGAGGATTTACAAAAAAAAAAAAAAAAAAAAGAATATTCAGCCAATCTCAAACCGTAGTAAAACCAAAACCAAAGTGATTGCCTCTTCGCTCTCTTGCGGGATGCAGAGGGCGATCCCGAGTTGTCAAGATACACGTAGTCTCATCCATCGTCTCGAGCAGCCAATCACAGGGCACGATTTGATCCATCTTGCCCGCTTGCGGAGCTTGTCATATACTACCATGTCATAACTTTGTTCTCCTTTACAGGTTGAAGATAATGACGATGACGTAATGCAAGAGCTGTTGATCTATCGATGCACCTCTAACTATTACATGACGTGGGTGATGTCAACCTGCGGCTTCAAAGGAATTCTCTTGATTTTTGGTGTGTTCCTGGCCTGGGAAACTAGAAATGTGCATTATCCTTCGCTGAATGACTCCAAGAACATTGGCTTAGCTGTGTACAACGTTTTTATGTTTTCATGTTTGGCACTCGTGGTTGAGTTTGTGGTCACGTATCCTCCTCTTAAGATGCTGGTTGGACGATCGATTGTGCTCGTGGGAACCACGTCGACGATTTCTTTGCTGTTTGTTCCAAAGGTAAGAAATTGCCGGTCGTCATGTAAAGACATATTCCAAAGTAATAACACAATTATCAATCCAAGCTTTACGTTGCTTGACATTAAAATGGCGATCCAAGAAAACTATCACGTAGATCAAAAGATAACCTATACTAGTCCTTGCATTTATGTGTCGGAACTTTAGAGTAATAATTTTTCGCTTTAATAGCTAAGTCTAATGGTAGATGTTTTGTTGCTATACGGTGCCCCTCTGAGGGACACCAACATGGCGTCTACATACGGAGCTCTATAAATTTGGGAGAATAAAGTACGTATGAAAAACAACACAGACCTAAATAATCTTGGCGAGGTTGTTCATCTATCAATCACCTATCATATCTCAAATTCTTGGCTTTATTTATTGAATGTTTACGATGGATATTTTCGTGCCCGGGTCTCTGCCTCGATACGATAGTTTCCTGCTGGTAAGTTTTAACAGCTGTACTTGTTCGTTTTCGCAGATTCTTCATCTCAGGAAAAATAATCAAGTGAGCATGACCACCACTGAACCGAGCAGGAGTGAATTCGAAACTTATGGAGGGACTGGCGGGCATTCCGAGATGAGAATAGAAACTTACAAGGGCACTTAGTGAAATTTAGGCCTCATTTCGCCAAAATGCCGAGTGAATTCAGTCTACGAGCCGAGCTGAAGAGGATTCAAGAAAAGTCGCCAAGCATTTCCGGGACAAAACAAGGGTTCGTTGCTATGCCTGCTCGGAGAGGTCAGGAGATTCCCCGAAACATTTCCAAAGAACGCGACGCAGTCGCAGAGGTACTGAAACAACCGATACCTGGAGTTCTTAAATCTCGAACTACGAGTGTTAAAAAGCAGCAAGAAGACTAGAAACTTCGCCATTTTCCGTTTGGGTTTGTTATAAACTTTACACGAACTATTACTGCGATTTCTCTCGATTTGAAAGTTTTTTTTTTTTTAAATCGCAGAAAATTACATATCGTTTCAGAGCTCGTTGTCGTGACAAGCTTATATATTTGTACAGAAACCCTATGTAACCTTCATGAATATCAAGGCGATCGGAAGATCTGAATTGATAGGATGGTACTTATCGACAATGTAACCAGCTTTGTAAACGGATAG